GTAAAAAAAAAATCCCATTACCCCCCACTTTACCCATTACCCCCACGTCCCACACACGCACACACTACACTAAACACAAAAAGACAAACATAAAAAGGAAAAAAGGGGACGAGAAATCAGAAAGGAGGAGAGAAAAAAAATAAGAAGAGAAAGAAAGAAAAAGAGAAAAAAAAATGTAAGTAAAAGAAAAAGGAGAAGAAACAACAAAGAATTTTTTTTTTCGGAAGAACACACGCAAAAAGAAACCAAAGGTTGAAGTTGAGGTTTACTTTCGCAGTTCCTTATTCGCATTGTTTTCTTTTGGTGAAATAATTTCCACAAGAGGTAATACTAATTTAATTTTGTATTAGTTTTATGTCATGATAATGCGAGAATGAATTGCAATATATATTAAAGTTGTTAAATTTCGCGTATGTTTAAACCATTAATATTTATTCATGTTATTGTATGAAGTATGTTCAAACGTTCATATCAGTTTTATGTTTAGATCTTGGTATAATTATTTTTAGTGTGAAATTATTATATCAAACCATGATTTATTTTATATTTAAATAACCCATAGTTTATTTTATACTTAAGTAAAATTATTGTCCAAGTCATGTAATTTTTAATATTTAGTTTATAATGAAAAAATGTGTAGCTATTATGTAAATATATTAATTTTAGTTAGTAGAATTTTTATTTAATGTTAGTGACGTAAAAAAATCGAATAAAAAATGAAAAAATATAATAATAATAATAATAATAAAAGGAAAAATGGAAAAGTAAAAAAAAAAATAAACTGTGAAAAAGAACATACAAAAAAAGAGGGAAGAGAGAAAACAAAAAAAATAATAGAAAAGGAGTATAAAAATAATATAAAAAATTCAATTGAAGAGGAAAAGAATTTTTTATATTTATTTTCTCAAAAGTTTCTTTGTCCAAACAAAAAAAAATTAAGTTAAAAAAAATAAATAAATAAAACCTTGAAAGTATAAAAAATAATAATAACAATAAATAACAATAATAGTAAAAGATGAGAAAGTATAAAAAAAATGTAAAAAAATAGAATAAAAAATAAAAATAATAATAAAAACAAAAGAAATAATAATAATAAAGAATATCTTATTTTATTCTGTTTTGCTTGATTTAATTTATATGTGTATATATATATTTTAATTAAAGGGCATAGATTAATAAAAATAAGATAGTTTTAATATATTTATATAAGTCAAAGAATGAGGGTAAATATATTTGTCTTAATAATACAATATTCATAAATTAGTTTAAGTCATAAATGTCCATAAAGCGACCGTGCTAGAACCACGGAACTCGAGGGATGCCTAATACCT